ACAAACCTTGAAAATGCATATCAATAAAGCTTTTCAACAGAAATTGGCTGAACATCTCTTAGCACTTACATTATTGTCAGCTCTACAAGGTTCTTATTCCATTTTTATCTGACATACAAAAGCAGAGAGAACAGAAAAAAATCAATTGTGATGTTAATGGGTATAATTCTTAACTCATTAGTGTTACACCTACTTACAACTGGGATGAATTTGCTCCTCTGAGATTTAATAAGTCAGCTTTTCTAAAATCATCTACATTAGTTTCCATCTACCTACCTTTCAAAAGATTCCATTTTTATTCACATTAAATGATACTTGCAAGGCTAAAATGAACCATTTTGACAGTACTTAAAAACAGAGATTGCACATTCTTTTTGAAAAGGGCACCAAACAAACGTTAGTATTTAATGAACATCTAATGCTTCAGGTTTTTTGGAAGGCTTTCATAAAAGATACTCAGAAAGATTCAGAGTGTGCTGCCACCAAGACCACACAAAAATAAATGATGGGTCAGACATCAAGGTTGAATTAATTATGAGAGTCCCATAGGGACCCATCTGTCCTTCAGCTGAAAGGAGAAACCAAACAGACTGAGCAGAGAAAAAAGATAAAGAAGAAGTGGACAGGGCAACAATCATTTGTTGAAAATGGTCAAAATAGCTATTAGAGCTAGAAATACACATGCAGGCACACCTGAATTTTCAACAATATAATATGACTGTGATAACTGCCACTGGGGACACCAGCATAGTGGGAAATGGCTGTTGGGAATCTGCCTAAAGAGAAGAAAAGGACCAAATCTGCCATCCAGACTGAAAGGGTGAACCATCTGCATTCATTTGCAGCTAACTGAAGGCTACTCTCAGCAAAGTACACGGTTACACAGCTGAGGACCTTCTTCTGCTGGGAACATGGGCCTCTGTGACACTACTGAACAGCCTCAGCTGGGATCCTGGTAAATGTGCTCGGGTTCACCTCTGTGGTTAAGATGTTTTAGGTTGACTTTTAGATCCCGCAGTACAGCACAAAACTTGAATGGATAGTCTGCTTTGCAAAGATAATTTTGGAATGAAAAAATCATTGTTTTCTTTAAGAAATGCATTTGCTTTTGGATTTTGTTTTATTTTCACTTCTGCTTGAACTCTTTTTAAACCCTGACTTGCAAGAATTATTTTCCCTGGGGAGTCTTCTGGACCTATGCTGCTATCGAACCCATCGGCTCTGCCCATTCTCCTCCTCCCTCTTTCTCCCAGACCTCCTTTCTACTTTTTTCTTTCCTTTTTGACTGTGAAGAACAGGAGAAGATCCTCATTACCCTGCTTCGCTGCTCTGTAAAAAGAACTTTAAAGCTCCTAATATTACTTAATCACAGCTTTCAGTGCTCCCGCTGCCATAAAACATTGTAACAATGGGTTGGCACTTCATCAATTGTAATTTGCTGATATTACAGTCACAGTAGTGCCCAACATAATTGCCATGCTCTACCACTGATTCATAAGGTTTCTTGATCTTGGTCAATCCTTTTCTTTGCTCTGGGGTTTGCAGGCAGAAATTTTGCTCTAATAGCTCAGATTTTTGAATTTCCCAGTTCCTGCCCATCCGAGTAGGATGCCTCCCTCCAAATACTTGGCACACCATTGCCCTCAAATTTCACTCCCAGTTACTTAAATCTATTAGGACACACTTTATTCTTCATTATTCTCAATTTTGCACATAGCAGCAGAACACAACTTTCAAACAGAGATAATAAAAGCAGTTATTAAGAATGAAGGAGCTAGCTTGAAGACAGTAAAATAAAAGAAATTTTGTCAGGGCTTTGAATCCCTTAGAGGTCCAAAACTCCTTAGAGCAAGAATATGACGTCAAACCATACAGATTATTAACAAGATGTTTATTTCTGGACAGAAGGCACATTGAGGATCAATTTCATTATATTGTGAGGTTTTTTTTCTGTAGACAAATGAAAATGCAAGTTATCAGGCAAACACTTCTACTGAAGATGAAGGACAGCAACAAAGTAAGAAGAAACAATAGCTCCAACTCTCCCTGACAGAACATATTGTTTGTGACTCATGCTGTAAAAGTAATCATTGTGAGCTGTGAATATTTGTTCCTTAACCACTTGTAGCTGCTCTGAGGTTGGGACAGAGATGATACTACAGAGGCAGGAAAAAGCCTCTCTGAAGACATGTAAGCACCCTTGTTAAACACTTGCAAGGAGTAAAGAATAAGATCCAAGCCATATTACACTCATATGGCTGGCTGTACAGACAACCAAACATGATGCTGAGATAGAGATTTCTAAAACACTGCAGGGGAAAGGTGTATTTTGACATCTGCTGTTTTTTTGTGCCTCTTTCTGCCACCAGGATCTGGCTCTAAAAGCTTCCTTTACAGAAGTGGTGATCCTGGTGAGGTATTTGCTAAGCATCCCTCCTCACCACCCATTGCAAAAACTTTGTAAGCCCCTGCAAAAGCCTTTTGGGCAAGCACCTGTGTGAAGGGTAAAGCAGCACATTGCCAGGACAGAGTGTTGCCACAAGGGGCCAAAACAAGGATTATATGCACTGTTTGTAGCCCTGGCATGCTAAACCCTCAGGTCCTCAGTGGCTGGCTTGTTTTCCAAAGCTCTGGCTTGCACAGCAAGGGTAAGAGCTCTTGTCTGGCCGTGGGAGCAACTGGGGACAGCAGAGCCTGCCAAGCTGGAATTCACTCTGTGCAGAGTGCAGGGCTTAGGATGCCATGTGAAATCCCACACACTTCAGCCAATCAACTGACACAAATGGAAGGCTACTGTGAGAATTAAACTTTGCTTATTCTACACATTTTGCCAAGATTTTGAAAACCACTTAATGGACTTAGACTTGAGGAGTGTTTTTAGATTCAAGTACTACTTGTTTAATGGATTTACTTTATAAATATCAGCACTGAGATTTAAAAAACTTCTTTGGGACTTGACCTGCTGATTCCTTTTAACTTTTACTGCAAAGTAACATCTGAAGCTGGCAACAGCAACATAATTGTATAACTTGAATACTTGCATAAGCTCATCTCATATTCAAAACAAGGCCTTCATCCACTATGTGGATGAAATAGGTGTCCAGTATTGTAGTGTGGAGGATCACTTCCCTTTGGTTTTACAAATCACTGCACAAATATTATGGCCATGGCACCCAAGCATCTCATTTGAATAGGCCTTTCAAATCTCCAGATTTCAAATTTATACAGATAAAATACTTGTGTGTGTATGCACATGAATATACACATAAGTGTATACAATTGAACTTTACCTACTCTGTGTGTGTATCTGGTATGAAAGTATATGCATGCAGACCTTCCTCTGTGTGTTCTTGGCCCCTGGTGCTGGCCACCTGGCTGTTTGCATCTCTTTAGAATCTGCAAGCATCACTGGTCTGACCCTGCACAGCGCTACCTCCTGCTCCTCCACGGCCACCCAGGATGTGCTAGTGCTTGGAGAACTTCAGCAAGTCTTTAGCAAGACTTCCCTGCAGGCTGTTCTTCTGAGGTTATGAGCCTTCACCCTTCAAGAGCAGTAACTATGGAGAACAGATACCTAGGAGTGGGAGAAGGATCAGGATGCTGCACAGTGCGTAGGCAGTGCCAGCCTACAGATGAAACTAGAGCTGGGGAAAGGTGCTGAGGTGCAGTGGTGCCTGGCTGTGCAGAGGTCCCCAGTTCACTCCTTCTGCAGCAAAACTCAGGACAGTAGCATTGCACTTTCCAGGGACAAGAAAAAGAAGGGGATAAGGATGAAATCTGGAAGAAACCCAACTTTCTCATTTAATCACAACAAACTGAACATGTCTCACACATTCAGAATAGAAGAAAACTAGTCATTAACTTATGTGAGGCAGCTGGTTTCCCAATAACAGCTCCTACACATTCTAGTGTTAATATTATTGTTCTTGTCAACTGTGGGAATGCAATGTATATTAATGATGGTTTATTCCAAATTGGTCATTGTTGGAGTTAATAATTAGGTAGCCAGGCACTAATTATCTCTATTTTGTCTCCAATCACTAACTAAGAAAACTGGAGAAGTAATTTTAGAGGCAGGCACCAGAGCCACACACAGTAAAGCAGACTCTGCTGTGGGCACAAGAGATTCTTCACTGCAAAGAGGCACCAGACAACGTCTGGAAGCAGAGTTAGGGAGATACTGCTCTAATACTAGGTGCAGAGTGGCAGCACCTCACAAAAATGCACATGCATGTGGTGCCCATCTGCTCTTTGCACCCCTGGTTCACCCATGAGGGAGGAAACTCCTTGAAGACACTGCCTGGCACCTGGACAACAGAGCTGCACCAGCAGGGTCCCCACTGCTGGCTGGAGCCCTGGACCCAAGCAACATCTGCCTGGAAGGGCACCACCAGCAGGAGGGGCAGCAGTGGGAAGAGGTGGAACCACAGGTGTTCACAGAGGAAGTGAAGTCTCAGCATTTAGTCTGAAATAAGAATCCTGTGGAAATTACAACAGGAAAGAGTTCAGGATAAAGATGGATCAGGCACACATGGAATGAGAGCCCTTGGGCACATGGGTGGAGATGCCTGAGCCCCTGCTGAGGCAGAGAACACCCTCAGCAGGTGTCCCCTGCTGAGACACAGACCCCTGGGAAGGCCTGTGCATTTAGATCACAGCTCTCCACCAGCCCAAAACTCACATCTGTCCTCAGATGTGTGAAGGTATCCCAACTACAATCCTCCTCCCCTCCTATTTCCCCTATGCACTTTGGAGATTACACCAAAGGGGAAGCCTTTAGAAGGAGTTCATGTAACATATTGTGCTGACCACTTTAAATTGAATTGGGTATACAACCATAGTGCCTTAGCAGACAGCACCCAAAACAATTCCCTTTTCAGTAATTCTGTTTTAGTTTCTCCTTCTCATATAAGAATATTTGAGGTTATCCTGCCCTGGTAGGCACAAAACCCTCACAAGATTTCAAGACCAGCATCCACTACCGTGTGTTATAAACTTACCTCAACATAGAGGATAGGGAAAATGCCAATCTTGTCACCCAACATTCCTTCTGCCCAGTTGTCATCCACCCTCCTGATGACTGTCAAAATTTCATCCTAAAATCAGAGATACACAAAACACATCATCAAATATTTTCTAGAAAGATGCCAATTTTTGGTTACCCAAATGATAGCTTAGAGAGTGAGTACACAGAGGAGGTCACAAGCCAGGTAAAAGTGTTTCCCGAATCCTGGGCTAGCAGCATCCCTGTCCCAGCATCTTTTTCCAGGCATCCCACTCAAAGTGCACTGAAGCACCCTGCAGACCAGTGCAGCTCATGCTGGCTGTCAGCAGCTCCAAGGGTCAGAGCACAGCAGGTGGGAACAGGTAACTCCTGGCTTCACTGAGGGAGAGAAGAATGTCTGACCCAAGAGGTCACCTACAAATCAGAGGTGAAAACTCCTCAGCATGAAGTTGCCCCTGTGCATCCAATGGTCTGTTGTGATGCTTGTCTGCTCTGGAACACAATTCAAAGGGGAGCACCAGTACAGCACAGGTACTCCTGGAAACATTTCCAACAAGGAATAGTACAAGGTGCTCAGCAACAAGCCTACACAGCTAGCACACTGAATGTCAGTTATTCTTTAAAAAATATTATAAGGTAAAACTGCAAAGCAAATAAAAAACCAAAGATAACATGTCAAAAAACCAAATTGCATTCACCTGTTGGATCAGCTTCAGTTTAGATACAAGTTCATTTCCTAAAACCAATGGTATTTTGATATTATGTTTAATCTAGGGGACCTTATAAGAATTTCAGGAGATGATGAACTTCTTTGTGATTATAAAACAAGAGGTAAAGCAAAGTACAAACCAGATTCATATTGCTCAAATTTTCACTTGGTATAGTTCACACCCAGAACGTACAAGTAATTAGGAAAGCTCAAGTTACTAGAACAAAACTCTGACTTTTTCCAGTTTGAACTACTCAGATTGCCAATGGATTTCTGCTACCATCCCTTTCTTCTGGGGTCATCATACTAAACCCAGGCTTAAACCAGCACTGCTTTCTACAACAGCTGTAGAAGGCAACCCTCTCAATGGGGCTCTGCCTGGATGCTCAGATCTCCTAAGAAAAAAGGAAGGAGTGGGCTGAGAAAAGCTGGGAAGTCAGCTTTGTTCCCTCATGGCATCCAATCTTCCTCTGCTCCTGTGCAGGAATTTACCAAAAAGAAGAAAATCTCTTCCTCCAGAAAGCTGAGACAGAGTTCCCTGCCGATCTCACTCTCACTTTATTTCCACTACCCTCACTTTATTTCCACTCTGTGAAAATAAGAGCTATGTATGGTATACCACGCTCCATGTAACAAGATCCTGATGTCAAATGGCCAGGCAAGGGCAGCTGGTTTTTTTGCAGATACTTCTCACCTAGAAAAAACTCCCACAAATTCCTGATCCAGGATGTTCAGACCATGGATTTGCTTTGATAGAAAAGTGACCAGAACAGAGATGTGATGTGTTGTACTTTGTAGTTTTTGAACATGTGCATTTTGAATACATGCACTCTGAAATAGTTTAAATGTTTCCTTTGCATTATTCATCTGAATGATCCATTAGGGGAAAGCTCATAGAAACGGCTACAAACCGAGTCCTTCAGCTATTTATTACAGCTGGAAGGATGCAAAAAGAATTTGTGCATTTAATTTCCTGAAGAAACAGCTAGCATTCCCTTCCAAAGCCCTGTCTGCACAGACCATTTTTGATCTGTTTAAAGAACTGACATTAATACATCTCTGCAAAGCTTCCAAACACTCTTACAAAAGACCGATTAGCATAAATTTAGAATCTAGGTAAAGGTGTAAACGAGAAAAAGAAACGACTGCATCACTTCAGGGACCTGCTATGAGTCTTCCTACTTTTTATATCTGCTCAGCTATTTCCCTAAAAGAGCTTTTTAAAAACACAAAATGTGATGTAGTCTACACTACATGCACATATGTAATCTTATGTATGTATAAGTGCATACACATGGGTATGAATAGAATCATAGATTGTTCAGGTTACAAAGGACCTCTAAGATCATTGAGTCCAACCATTAACCCAGCACTGCATATAAATATTTGCATATATTTGCAACTATTTACACATGTAAGAAATTAAGAAAAAAAAATTTGAACTGTAAAACCCTAGAAGCTTTTGACCAGATTTTGCTAGAGGCACTGTGCAATCCCATCTCTGGAGCAGGCTGTACAGACACCTGGCAGGAAAGGTTTATCCTGTGTTGGCTTTGCTCAAGGATGGGGTGGGGAATGGCTGACCTTTGAAGATCCCTTTCAACTTTACCTTCCCTGGATGTATTAAATCTGGAAGCATTTCCATACACTGAACTTCGTTTGGCTCAGCCAAGTCTGGCTACTGAATATGGTCCTATATGAGAAATGCATCCTGAGATATGCTGACATTCAAAATTAGTATTTTTGTGGGAGAGCAAAGTGCAAATTCTTGAGAATTCCATCACATAATTAGTTTTAAGAAGGGTGTTGAAAATCTTCAGAATTACAGCAAATCCCAAAATATCTTTTGAAATTTTTCTATTACTAGAAAGTTTCTTTGAATTTGCAGCCAACGACATCATTCTATACAGTGAACTGCTGAAAGCTTCAGCATGAACTGTTTTAGAACCTTATATTAGTTGGAGAGCCGTGCTACTTATAAATTCCTAGAAAGGTTCCCAAAAGGATCATGAATAGCAAAACGCCACAGATCTCTTGGTATACCACTTCACTATTTCACATTGACTAAATTGATTTCCAGGCAGCATAAAGGAATCCAAGCCTCAAATCTCATTTCAAAAGCCAATGGTATCCACTGTAGTTTGGACAAAGATATGCCGTGCTCCTTTTTTGCCTGTTGCTAGACCCTTTAATTATTTGCTCTCCCCTTCTTGCTTGAGTTTCTCTCTATTCATCAGGGCTGGATCAGCCTTGTGACAGGCATGTGGGACCTGCAGTTCCAGTTTATAATCATTATCAGAAAAGAAGTCAAAGATAAATCACTTAAAAAGCTATCTGATTGACAGAGAAATGAATCCTTTTGCTGAGAAAACAGCACAAAATTGTGTCCAATAACAGTCATGATTCACAGCCTGATTTTTATTCTAGTCATTAATGGCCATTAACGAAGCAATACAGAGCAGCTGTGCCTGCTATTCTGCAGAGATAACTACCCCATCTAGAGCACTGGGGAGATCGCAGCGATGGCACCACGTGCTGCTTGGTGAGTCCAGAGACAGCGCTTGCCAGCTGGCACCAGAATCCTGTCACCAGCTACTGCTGGGATGGTCCCTCTGTGAACAGCAAATGCTGCTGGAACTGAGTGCTAAGGGGCTGCTCCACAGCCAGGAACAAGTATTGGATGTGATGGTTCTAAGATTGGCACGGCTCTTGTTAGACACCACTGTGGGCTGGGATCAAAAGTGTTGGAAAATGAAGGAAACAGTTGATGTTATTAACAATGTGATGAGCAATGAAGCATGGTGAACAGTTGATGCTACCTTGACAGGTTTGAGCCTCATCAACCAGCATCACTCAGCCTTCTGATGGCCATGTGAAGATGCATGCAAAGGGTGGTCGAACACCAAAACAAATGTGTGGGCTGAAACTGGACTCAGGGTAAGACTGGAACAGACAACCATGCAACTAATTCAGATTTGCACTGCTACACTTGAGAGCAGAATCCTCTTGCACATGGTTTGTACCAGCATTCACAGCCCAGAGAAGGATAGATTATTTTTTAAAACAGAGACAGCAGGATCCCATGTCCATACTGTGGTACCATGTTAGGAGAGATTAGAAAGCTGAGCCACTAAGTATACCCCAAAAGCATGCAATTGGGCTCTGTAGGCCACAGCGTGATCCCAACCATACTAGAGAACATCAGGAGTACAACTTCTGAAACTACAGTCATTAAACTGGTGCACAGTTGACCCAAGGCTGGAACCAGTTGTTACTGGTTGGTACCGTTGATAAAAAGTAACTGCCTGGTTTGGCTAATCACTGCCCAACACTGAGAGAAAACAAATTAGGTAGGAAATCTGGGTAAGTTCTATCATCTTATAGACAGCACAGAGGAGCGAACAGAGGTGAGACCCTATGCATGTATGTATGGCTTCTCTGGGAAGAGGACTTGAGGGAGCAGTCCAAATGGTGTAAAAGAATGTGGGAGCTTTGTTTTTTTGCACTGGATATTCAACACAGATTTTTCTCTGCCCGTCTTGATTTTATTCTTACATATAAATATTATTACATTTACATCTTTGGCCTTTTATTTGGAGAGAGTTGTATGCACAGGGGATGAAAATAGGTAAATGGCAGAAGCACCCTGCAGCACTCCTCATGAAGATCTGTGTAAAGTAGACTTCATTTCCTTGCAATACACATCTGGAACAATGAAACATTTTCATTTTGAAAAATATAACAAAACAAATTAGTAACAGGAAACACCAAATATCCTCCCTTTGTTTTCTTTTACTATACCAGTAGATATTCTGAGTGCATAGTAAGAAGGGGGATGGGAAAAAGCAAAGCCCAGTGAAAGAACAACAAAACAAAATTATACAGAATACCCCCATGTTTGAGTTTCCTTCTTGTAGCTTCTCTTTAGAGGAAAATTCTTCTTTATTTTATGTTTATAGGTAAAATCCAATCACAAGTGTCTGGTAGCCTGAAATGAGTTGCAGTACACAAATAGGTTGTGTTAGTTTGTGTAAGTGTTATGCCAATGTAACCCCTCTGCCAGAGGAAGGAACAAATAGTGTAAATGAAACTGAGACCTGGTCCAGCATCTTCAGATGCAAACTGAGACATTCAAGTGATGCATATTGCCCAAAGTGACAAATCACATCTACAGCACTGCAGTGCTCAGGACTCTGTGCAGAGGAACTGACTGTATCAGCAGATGATCTATAATCTGGGCTAAACAGGAACCTTCATCAGCACAGGTGACAGCTAAAATTAGCATTGAGAAAACTGATGAAAACATGACGGTGAAGTCCCAAGATGAAAAATAGATTATTCACTGTCAGGGAGAACAATAGGCAGGACATAAAAACTGTTACAAGGTGACAGTGTGTGTAGTGGAAGGAGCTAAAGAAGAAAATAGCAGTAGAAGAGAAACTAAACCCCCTTGGAGAAAACACAGTCATCAGGGATAAAAGGATGCCGACAGTAACACGAGGGGTGAAAACAAGGGAAATTGAGAGATTGAGAGTAGAGCTATACAGCAGGAAGAAATGCTCCATGTGAGAATGACATTGGACAGCCAAGAAAATGAGGACTATCACTATAGAAAGGCAGTTATTGTAAAGGAGGTTTTCTAATATATGGCACCAAATATATCAAATACAAAAGTGTCTAGGAAAGGACCTGCTGTAACAAAAAAGACCACAACTGCCTGGCATACCTATTAAATTTCTTAAGACTGAGCAAGCAAGGAATACTTTAAGCAGAGAAGGAAGACTGCATCTCAGAGAAGTCACCAGTGTACCTCTGGGCAGGCAGCGAGAAAAACAACGCACCAGAAAATATATATTTACTGATAAGGTCTCAGAGGTAACTTCTGGCCAACTTTCTGTTAGTGCAGGGCTGTAACTTCTCACTAAGCAGCCCACTTTCTCGCAGAGATTCATGGCTCCAGGGAGGCTGGCTGGTCGCAGGGTTTGCAGTGTTTGCAATCAAACACTTCACTTGCTATGGAATAAAAGTGCTTACAAATCCTTTGTTAAATAAATATGAGAAAATACAGTCTAGGAAATTGCATTCTGCTGAGAAACACTGCATGAGTGAAAAAGATGTTACATTCGGTGAGAAAATTACACGCTGCAAATAATTCATTCAGCTATAATAAGTAGCTTCAAAAGAGGAGGTCAGTAAAATCCTGGTGAAGGATATTTTTATTGTCTATTTCATATTCATTTTCAGCATAACTGTTATTACTTTATGTGATACTATAACAGCCGCAGACAGCTGAAATAAAACAGAAAATGACAATGAACAGGTTCTCCATGGCATTCACTGCCATAAATTAACAATAGGGGATAGGCTTTATTTTACTGTGGGTTTCTTGATACCCATGAAACCCATCTAAGGTCAACACAAATTGCTAGGGAGGGGAGTGGGAGGCAAAAAGCAGGTGGGGAGGTGGGGGTGAAAGGGAAAACGTGACATTTTAAATCCAAAGGAAATTACGGTATCTCAGTTTTCTCTCATTCTAACAGGAATTTATTAAACATTTTGGTTTAAAAAAAACACCAAAGACCGTTTTTTAAATGTCTGCTTTTTACTGTCTTTATGTTCTTAAAATAGGAAATACTATTATGATGATAGTGTATTTCAACTGCTAATTGGTATATGGTATGATGCAATACACATTTTGAAGCTGAATGCAATCTTAAAACACTGAAACATCTGATTCAATAAGGAACATTCAAAGACACATTTCCATTAGGGTTTTTTTTCTGAAATTTGAGTAATTCTTGGGGAACATTTCAATGCAGATGAAATGCATGCTTTTTAGAGGGAAAAAATGTTCTCAGGAAGCGTGTAGTCAGTTCTACTTGTTGAGCGTCACTAGCTTTACACCAGCCTTGCTATTCATGGCACAATCTCAGAGAGTGCAGGGTAGGCCAGGGAGGCCAGGCCAGGAAGACCAGGAAGGTGTCCCACCAGTCCCAGCACCCCTGTGCTCCTGGCTCAGCTGCCAGCACCGCACGTGCCCCATCACTCCCTACCTAAGCAGACTGCTGAACATTTTTAAAAAACCCATTCCCCTACCTTGGTGAAGGTCAGGCAATCCTTGTCTTGATCTTTATCCTTTATTTCAAAGTCATAAAGTGCTTTGCCCTGCGGTGGAGCTTGTGGGAGGGGCTTGATGCACTGGATGTAGCTGGCGGGGAAGAAGCCATGGTTGCCATTGAGCTCCCCGTGGTACCAGTTCTCGTCCACCTTGCGCCGCAGGATGATGATGTCCCCCTTGTTAAACTTGAGGTCACCAGGCTCCTTTCCCTCATATGTGTACAGGGCTTTGCCATAGGGAAGCTGAGAAACACTCTGGGGAAACAAAACAAACAGCTTTAAGCCATCTCCAGCCAGCACCAATATCATTCCTAGAGCCATTGTTTAGCTAGAAGCAAACTGAGCAGCCATGGTCATTTACCAAATGACCCCAATGACTGCAGCAGACTGCCCCATAATGCTAGATGCTGGATCTCAGGAAAACTAGGGTGCAGGTGATGATAAGCCTGAGAAGGTAGGTGTGTTACATCAGAGCAGGCACTGTCCATCTCATGTAGCTCAGCTGAAACCTGCAATACGTCTTACACCACCAAGCAGCGTCACTTAATTTGCAAAATATCCTGTGTAAGCAGGACTATATGTTTAAACAACTAAACTTGGACGTGTGAAAAGGCAAAATATTAGACATTTTGACCTTCAGGGTTGCTTTGGTTTCTGAAGCTCAGAAGAGAGACAAAACAATACATGCTTGATGATTCACAGGGTTATAAAAGCTGGCAAATTGGTAATTTTTCATTGCGTTTGTTTGAGCATTTCCAAACATTTTTGAGTTTGAAGCCTTTTGTTTAGCTTTTGATTCTGTTACTAAATACTCTTATTTCTTTCAAAATCCCCAAGTCTCATGCTACTCACTGAGGGCTACTGTAAACAGTTATAATATTCTTTGTTGCTTATGAATTAATGTCCTTGTGGAAAAGTGGAATAGGCAGAATGCCCCAAATCCTTCTTTTAGAACTAAAAAGAGCTCTGAAGCTTGCACTGTCATTAAAAAAATTAAACAAACTTACTAAAAAATCATGGCCCATGAGGAAAAAAAAGCCTAAGAAGTTCATTGTTTGGTATGATAAAAGAGTGAAACCTATTTGATGGAAGCCACTCTACTCAAGCGGGAAGAATTCTTCCCAGAGTTCATTTTGTCCCAGTGAAAGGCAGATTATCTCAGCCAGGCTGGGACTGCATGGACAATGTTTTGGTGGAAGTACTGGTTTATGCAGCCCCTGTCCTCCCCATCTACTTGCTCCTCTTCTTGCTGAGTCCCACAGAGCAGGGGGTAACTGTGGTGGACACAGCTTCCTGCTGCTTTGGTCCTATCACAGTTCTTTAACCCATACTGGAGTGCAAAAGGTGTATTGCTGTATTATCCTATACCATTTTTCATTTTATTCAATTTGAACTAAGAGTCAGCTTGCAAATATATAGCAGCACACAACACAAGGGATGTTAGAGGGGTCCTTAAAAATCACCCTTCTGTAAGAAGGTTTGGGGTTTTTTTTTCAGAGTTGTATTTACAAAAATGACAGAGTTTTCTTTGCATACACATGCCTTTGACTAGTCTGTTCCCTGCTGTGCATCATGCTTGTAAATGGGGTGTTCTATAGGGACAATGAAAAGGTAAAGCTATATTTAATAAAACACCCTGGTATTCCCCCAGGTGTTTCTAATGCCTGTATTTCTGGATGACATTCCTGTGCCTAAAATAACACTCAGATGCTTTCCCCAGAGGATGGGTGGAGTGGCCTGACAGAAACACTGCACTTCCAGAAAATAAGAAGCTGGGATGACTTTTCATGGTATTTGTTAAAGCCACAAGCAGAGGCATTTTTCAATTCCAATGGGTGCATTAAATGGACCTGCTCTGGTGGAGTGGGTTTTATGCTCCTCCACCTGCATCTTTCGGCAGGAGGAGGAGAAGCAGAGCCCTGCCTGCACTGCCTGCTGGTGCCTCCGCCGCTCCTGGGCGCCAGATGGTCACTGCAGCAGGCACACACCATCACACTGATCAAAGAGCAACTTTCTTCAATGCACCTTCACACAGAGGCGTTACCTTACTCATTCTTATTAGGAAAGGCTTTAGTAGCTGTGCAGGTCTTGGAATGCTGTGTGACAGATCTTTTTCCCTACAGCCCACACTGAAGGAGACAGGCAAAGAGGCACAGCTCTTCAGAGTGTGATCCATGATGTCTGGAGGGGGATTTAATTTCTTTCAGATGTGTCCCCAGATCTAACTTTTCTCATTAGCAATTTGCAGTTCCTCTGCAAGTCCTCTGTATTCTTCTGGATTTTGCTGTATCTGAATGGAGCTACCCACTTAAAGACCAGTTATTCAGGAAGCTCCTTCAAACATAACTAAAAAAGCATACAATCAACAGCCAGCTAACAGTCTCTGCCAAATCAGTGGCAGCATCCTACTGGTATTTTTCTCTCTGCCAGGGTGGTTATTTCCCTTGAAAGCAAAGCCTTGTCCCCTACACAGCATTTTAAAGATTAAGCATACGATACCATCAAACTCCTTAGGTAAGGCATAGATTGCATTACTCATTTGAAACTAGAAAAAAACCCCCACACTAAGCTGAAAGACTACAGAGCCTTGTAGTAATTTAGAAATAAAAGAACCATTACTCTAATTCATGTTGGGAGAAGACAATTTATCAAAGGAAGAGTAAGACTTCTGCCAGGTGCATACTGCTGATCCAGAAACACGCTCTGTATCACTCACCCTAGACAGGACCTTCCTATTCCCAAGATCTTTGTAGCAATTCAAGGTCAGATCACTTTCTTTACTTTTTAGCCAATTTCTCTTCCCAAGCCTTATTTTACTGTGTAAAAAGGCAACACAGTAGCCCCAAGAGCTACAGAAAACAAAGTAGATTTTATTCCATTGCACACTTCATCAATGAAATTCTTATGCAATACATGCTGGGCTTTTATTGATAATTAATTGATCTGGCTAGAAGATGATTCAGGTCCTGTTTTTAACTTCACCTGATGCAAATGAACACTTTTAAGAAAAACAAATCAACTGCCAGATGTAAATTTGAAATCTGGCTTTGTTTTATTTGGAGACCCTAATGTGGGAATTTGCAGTTTAGGTGCTTGTGTTCCTCTTCTCTTTCATGGGCTTGTCTGTGGGCCATCTAGGAGCTGTCCTACACAGAGAAGATCTGGGCAACTGACAGTGGGAGGGACTTCCAAAAACAAACTGCTCCAATTATTCAGAATTTCTAAGCATATTTTTGGAAGTTTCCCTTTATTATTCCTAGTTTTGGTTAATTCATAAGTGAGAAGCAGATCAGATTCAGAAAACTCCTCTGAACTACATCTGAAAGGAGGGAGCATTAACCATCTTTTAGAAATAGAATAAAAACAATCTCTGCTGCTGTTTGCTAGTTGTAATGTGGTTCTTAGAAATCTTCCTCTGATCTTGATCATCTTCCTCACTGATAATTTTTTGTGCAGACAATTCTGGCCTATCCACTCCCCTCTTCTTCACTTGACTTTCCCAGCTCAAAGGAAAAGAGGTTGGCCAGGACTGATGTCCAACTGATGTTCAAACTCCCCAAGCCCTGCTGGTGAGCATGGCCTTCCCATTCTATTTTCAAAGCCTCAGCTCATGCCCTGTCCTATTTCCACTCAGGTCTTTGTTCCATGCAGCAGCATTTCAGTCAGAAATCATCACCTTCAGAATGTCCACATGGTCTTTCCTACAAAACCTTCTAATCTAAACCAGGATATAAAGAATCATCCCAGAGATCAGACTTAAGCAAAGCAGAGACAGGCAAGGTTCAGGGGAGGCAAAGCACATAGAGGTGTTTCTCCAGCAACTGCAGGAGGCTCACACCTTCCTCTTCCTCCCTGCTTCAGCAGAGCAAAACCTCCTTACCCTTCCTGTGCCCATTCCATGCATGAGCACTGCCACACCAGCTGCTGGTGGACAACACTGAGCGTCTGCACTGCACCCTTGGCATGCACTTCATCCCCTGCTCCACCACCTAAGTCCTGCTCATCCATGGGGCCCCATCTTGGCATCTCCTGCCTCACTATGCCCATGGAGAGGAACTCCCTTTCCAAGCCTGGCCCCAGCAGCATCGTGCTGCTCCTCTCCCCGTGCCACTCAGCCTCACAATGGCCACTCCTGCATCCAGGCACCAATGTGGTGGCAGCCTGGCTGTGCTGTGAGGAGCTCAGCAGTGACCACCAGCCCACTGCCTTCCTCCAAGTCAGCTCTTGACCTGTGCTTCACTGTGAGGAACCCCTGCCATCAGCCCCCTCTCCAGCTGCCATGAAATCTGGTGGAGCACAACGCAGGTGGCTGCAAAATTAAACAGCCTCGACATCTGACTGCATCAAGTAGTTGATTTGCCCTGCTGGTTTATTGTGAGGCTAACTGGCACTTGGCTATGATGTGTATTAAATTTCAAAACTCTGTGTGGGTGTGTATAGAAATAAAAAAAAATTAAGAAAGGAAGAAAGGAAGGGATGAAGTCACAGTCAATGGCAACAGCCAGTTTCTTTTTCCTGCCACTAAATCCATGCTGGCACGATGCTGAATACTGCCAAAGGTTTCTTTTCTATTTCAGCAATCAATACTGACGTGAAAGCCTGAAGCGTTAATATGCTGAAAATCCCCCTTGCAGAAGACTCAATGATATGTTGGCAACTCAATCATTCTGCATTTGTGTTTCAGCAATGTCAAATAGCAGCAGTTAAGCAGAAACCTGCTGGCAAATTGACAAATAACAGCCATGAAGCAATTAACTGGCAAAGCTGGAGCATCCTTCATTATGTATCCTGAAGAACAAAAGGAATGGGAAAAAACCCAAACATGCTTGCTTCCAATAAATTCTCCCAGTAGAAAGCTTAGTAGAATGTGAGCTGCCCAGATAGAATAGGTCTTCAGTTTTCAAAAGTTACAGAAAATAAACTCTTTCCCAATGTGCTCAAAAGCAATGCAGGATGCAACAGGGGTAAGAGCCTGCCAACTTCTGCATGCAGGACTTGGTGGAGGAGGTCACTACTTCAAAAAAATGTCTAATGCTTGCCCAAAGTGCTATGCAGGTGCCTATAAAACAAGAAATCAAGAATAAAATAAATAGGGCAAGGCATCCAGCTACTAAACCCAGAGAGAAATGCTCTGATTCAATCCTTCTCTCAAACTAAGTTTGTGTTTGATCCTTGAAAGCCTAGAAACCTCTTGAGGCTCCAGCTATGGCTCCTCTCTACAACAGCAAAGTTGAAGATTTTTTTTTCTGCAGTGT